GGGGGGGAGGCTGGGGAAAGTCCCTCCGTGTCCTGAGAGACTCCTTGTCCTTGGGAGACTGGAGGCTGTTCAAGCGGCTTCCCTTCGCAGTGGCACATGTAGGAAAGGGGGGGCTGGGAGTGAGATTTGGGTCAGGGGAGAAGGGCAGAAGGACGGGGAGGAGTGGGGGGGTTGAGGGGAGGTTAGGGGGCAGGGGGCTGAAGGAACGGCTGAGGGAGTGGGGAAGGGCGGCTATAGGGGGACAGGGGCTGTGTCGTTTGACCCTCGGAAGACTCACCTGAAACAGAATCTGAAGAGTGCAAAAAGGGTTTTTTTAAAGTCTCCACGGGATGCGCACAAGCACCCAACGGAGCATGCGCACGCTTCAGTTTAAACAAAACAAACACAACCCCGTTTGCCGCCCCGCCCCGCTTCTTTGCCTGTGGTGTGATCGGCACCTCCCCCCTAACCTTGGGACCTCCACGGGACGTCGGATCGCGCAACCGCACGTTATTTAGCCCCGGGGCAAACAGCCACGCTTCCCCACCACCACCACATTTTCTGGCCAGTGTTACCGGAGCCAATGTGAGGCTTTTGATGTAGGCTTGCTTTGATTTTTTTTTCCTTTACCAAGCTATTTTATTATAGCCCCTCCTTGCTCGGATCCTGCAGTAAATCTGTTCACAGGCAGAATGGGACTTCCCTTCACCTTTGCAATCACCACAGCCCAAAGTTATTCCTGAAGCGATGCCCCTGGTAACCACACACACACACACACACGGCATGACGTGGAGGGAGCATTGAAGATCTGTAGTAGGAAAGGGGGTATTGATGAAAATCACCCCTCAGTTCTGTTAGCAGAATGTTCTTGCAGGTTCCTGTCCTTTATCATTTGTGAGGTTGTAAAAAAAAAATAAAAAAATTGTGAGGTTGTATGGCTTGACCTTTTAAAGTTAGGAGAGGGTACAGAAAATTAAATAGAGGAAACTGTACTTCATTTGTCAGTTTATTATGTGAGTATTGCAGTGAAATTGGTAGGTCTCTTGGGATTGGTGTTTCCAATATTTCAGCTTAATGTGACTGTAAATCTAAGACAGTGTGTTTGTTACCTTTTTATTGGCAGATGATCCGAAAAGGTGTGTTCAAAGATCAACACTTCGATCAAAATCTCAACTTTATGTATATAGAGGTAGATAAAGTAACCGAAAGGGTAAGTCTGAACTACTCTGTGGGAATTATTTCATACCTTTTTGCATATAGAATTGAAATTTCTTTACTACCACTTATTTTGTTGTCAGTTAAAAGATTGCAACTGTTAGTATGATGTGCTGGCTTTTGGAGAACTTGCTTATTAAAATAGAGCAGCTGACTCTTTACATTATGATGAAAAACGAATAAACATGGGTTGGATTTAAAGGACTGTGGAAGCTTATGGAATGGGACTCCCCCATCTATCCACTCCTGTTTCAGCCCACAACCCCTTCAAGTTCTGCCTTGGGGGGCATCAGGAGTGTAATTTTTCCACATCTGTATACAGAACAGCAGCTTGTTACTGTGAAAGGCTTCAAGATACATTTCAAGGCAGTATCCATCAGTGGTTAGCCTGGGGGTTAACAGGAGTGGAGCTGGCTGAACTTGGGATGATTTTGTTATAATTTGCTATAATATAGCATAGGAGTTGCATTTGGCTCTTGAATGAGCTGTGTCCTGTGAAAATGATGGAAAGGTTCTGCCATTAACTAGGAATTTGTTTAGTCTTGTTACTGTTCTTCGAGGTTTTGAAAGTAAGTGCTTGATTCCGTTGTCTTTCTAGGAAAAAGTAACTGTCATGAGCACCATTAATCCAACAAAGGATCTGCTGGCAGATTTAATTGGGTGCCAGCGCCTTCCTGAAGACCAGCGTAAAAAGGTTCACCAGCTGAAGGACTTGTTGGACCAGATCCTTATGTTAGACCCAGCTAAACGGATTAGTATCAACCAGGCTCTGCAGCATGCCTTCATCCAGGAGAAAATTTAAATCCAGTGAAGAAGTTCAAAGGGTTTGAATAGTTATTATACAAAGACTGATGAAATTTCACAGCAGTTTATAAATGTACATAAAACATATAAATAATTTCCCTGCAGAGTTGAGAAAGAATGGTATATTTGAATTAACACCAAGACTGATATTTCTTTTAGAAATGTTAGCGTACACCCTTGTCTCTCATGTGAAGATTTTTTTCACTTGTAGAATTGTTTTAATTGCCAAGACTGCACAGAAGTACAACGCTAATGTCTATGGTTGCAGTTCCTGTAACCACACAAACACACGTTATCTAAAACAGAAAATCTGTTCAGAAAGATGAGTAAGACCGGGTGGTTGATTTTAGTTTTTAACAGATTTGGCTTCATTTTTGTCTCTGAAAAATGGCCAGCATAAATGCTGTTTATATTACGTTTTCCTAGGTGTGTGCGTGCAGGCCACAGCAGCATGCCCTTGGTGTGTAGTCAGTGCCGAAGGGGGTCTGTTCCTTCTTGAGCCTGCCCGCAGGAATGGTCTCCTCTTTTAAAGCAGGTTGTGTACAACTTTCAGTACACTGAAGGTAAGCTAAACCATCAACATCACCGGTGTTTAAGTTACTGTACTGGGACAACTGACAAATGAGGGTCAATAGCTTTGTAGCAGAATTTCCCTGCATGTTTGATAAGTGATCTTGTTTTCATTTTCTGGCATTACAACTGTGGCATAGTTCCCACTTCTGTTCGGTCATCCCATTTAAAAAAATTGGGGGAATGTGCACTTGATGGAGAGAGCGCCTTCAGTGTACTGTTTATTACCTTCATTTTTTAAAAAAATCAACTTGCTGTATATATAGACTTTATATACATTTTGTTAAATACAGTTCACTATGGCATAGACCCAGAGCTTAGAGAAGAGTTTTCATTTACTAACAACAGATATCGAACTCTGATTCCGAAAGTCCTTATCTCACGGCCAGATAGAAAACATCGTAATAAACTTTTTAGCTATTTGTATGTCATTTGAAAGTGTACTGCTTTATGCTAAAGGTGTTTTTAATTTTGTTCATTGTTTTCATTATTTGTGATCATGTTGTCTTTCAATACAGGCATAAACCTTCCACTCTTGAACAAAGCAGCTGCTTTTTAAAAGCGGTAATTGCTTCTTTACCTTTTATTTCTTTTGTAAATGAAGCTTTCTTTAAGAAATGTGACTTTAAAGTGTTGTCTCTTGCATAAAACAGTTGACATTCACTTATTGTGAAGTGAAGATTGTTCTGCTGCATGTAAAGTGGACCATGCAGATTTCTGTATGTTTTCAGTATGCATCATTAGATAATAAAGTCTTTTGTGAACAAGGCATTGGTAGCCATTTTTAAAAGATTTTTTTGTCTCCAGTGTTGCCGACTCAGGTAATCCATAAGAAGAAATCTTCATTTTTGATAGTCCATTAATTAAATCTGTTACTAAAAGATACAGTCCTTTGAAAATATTAGACTAAGTACCAACTTTGTAGTATAAATATCCCCATTCCCCCCAGCATCCTACTGATACTGTCTGCTTTCATTGTAATGAAATTTATTCCTGTAGGTTTTGGGATTGGATACAGGTTTTAACTAATGTTTGTGCTGTTTTTCTTACTTTTCCTTTTTGATGGTGCTGAGAGAGACAAAGGAAGGCAAGTCACAGGCCATTCAACGCCTACTCCAGTGGGTCTGGTTTGCTGAGACACCAACGTCACCTTCCTAACAAGGTTATTTCTGACAGCATGTGTAGATAAACATTTAGCAGCAACGTAAACGGTAGTTTGTTGTTCATCGTGAGGATCCCCAAATCAGTGAATTCATGATTGCCGATCCAGTTCTTGGGTTAAAAGTGATCTATTTTTGTACATTTTTGTGTAAGTTCCACAGCTGTATGAAACCACGATCCTAGGTACTTTGTAATAGTCCCTTAAATAGGATTTCTTTAAAAAACATAGTTGCTTTTGATGTGTGCAGTTTAGTGCAATCAGTCAATCTGCTTGTGGAGCGCTCCTCGTGAGATGTTCTCCACCCCGGCAACATAGTGAACCACAAAGGAGGCAGATGGCAGGTGATGTCACCTGCCTGTGTTGAACTTCTACCCTGTCTCCTCTTCTTCAGTTTATAAATAGTAAACGTATTTCTCTCTCAACTTACTTAAAACATTTCTTGTTCGTGCAGGAGACAGGACGCAGCTTTGACACTCGAAGAAGTAGATTACTTGATAGCTATTTGCACACAAAAGTAATGTGATGCAGTGCTCTGGTGACACTTCCAGCCTAACTTGCACATCTGGTGGCAGTCTGACACAGATGTTGTACAATTCTATGGCCTCCATCATTGTTTCATATCGCTGTTACACAAATAGTGAAAAGAACTGGTCATGTCAACTCCAGTAGCAGCTGCGTGCCTTATGGCTACGTAATTTTTAAACCATTCTCAAGAAAAACAAAGTTGCTTGTTCACTTGTTCTTTGTGTTGTAGGTGCCGTTCAAATGAAGATGATGGCTACCAGAAGACATGAACAAAGGTTTCTGTTCTATAAAAGATATGACAAACATTCTTCCATTTAGTTATGTCTAGTTTTTGTTGTTTTTTTCTCGCGTTCACAACACTCAGATATAGGTCTCATTACACTCTTGCCACACTGGCAGGTTTTAGCATAGTACTGTCATGGCATTTTTAAAAAGATGTAAAATGTTGTATGTTTTGTTTTTGGGTGATGTGATTTTTATTGTGATAAAATAGAGGTAGGCACGGTATAGTATGTTTTAAACTTTTTATTATAATATTTTATCCCCTTGGCAAGGATCAACCAAATATTAGGGTAAATTAGGATCACTGATGTGCTTTTTAAAAAGTATGAAATAAAGCAGCATTCATTTGTTTCAGAGCATGCATTGTGTATGCTTTGACAGCAGAATAAATGTTAATACTGTTGTGTGATTGTCAGGTGGGCCTAGATTCTTCAGACCCCTTATTCTGTCTGACCACACATTTTGGCTATGAGTCTGTGTGCCTGAAAGCCAGCAGAGACTATAGAGATCCATCTAAACTAGGTCTGTGTAGTCTAATCCAGATCTATGAATCTGGTAAGAGAAGGCAGGAAGGCAGTATTTTCTTCTGTACAATTCTCTGTAAACCTTACACTGAGCGGGTTACAGCTAGGAATTAAGATTTCATTTGTCCTCTACAGCATCTGTTGTACTAAGGTTGAAATGCACACACCCCACCAAAAAGAAAAGAAAAGCGATTCATGCATTGGCACTGTCAGTTGAGTAAATATCCTGCTTTTATAGTGGTGTTGGTGTAGCAGGCTAGGAATTTTTTGGTACATATATATTTTTTGGTACATATATATTCATCACTATTTTGTACCACAGTGTAGGTTGACATGCCATAAATGGTTACTTCTTGAATGATTTTGGTAAATCTGATGTGGAATTATCACTTTTCCTTGCTAATGATATTTTTCCCTTCCTGTATAGGGTAAGTGGCAGAAAACCTGTGGGAAACATTTGTATGGAATGACTTGTGCTCAAGAGACAGATCAGTCTATGAAAATACAGAATGCTGGTATCTTTGACGAGCTGTAATGGAGACCTGTGTATCAAAATGTAAAGTGGTAGTTCACTTCAAGATAATAAAATAGCTTTGAAAATAATCTGTTAACATTTGTAATTTTTATGAAGTTCATTCAGTTAAGAAAACTTTTAGTGCTGGATTCTTTTAAATATTAGATACCCAGACAATTTAGGGGTTGGTTCAAAGGAAGGTCACTATATTGATTTACTACGTCTTTGGACTCCGATTTCCTCTGGTGAAGGAGCCTGCATGACCCCCACACACGCAGCCAAACAGCAATAATTAATCTTTGTCTCCTGCTCCAAAGCTGAGTTGGTAATTTAGTTTAATTCATGTGCACACTTTACTTTTGCTTAAGGCAATAGCTTGCTATCCAGAAATATTCAGATTTTAGATTCATTCCATGACACTTGTGGGTTTGGGACCACATTTATATATTTTAAAAACACATTTTAGTTCTTGCTATGATTGTTTATCTTTCATCTCAACAGTTTTGCAGGTGTTATCACAAGGTGGTTGCTAATTCAAGGTTATCATTAACAATTAGTTTTCCATGGGTGCTTTTCTTCTTTTATATTAACTCTTAGATCTTGCTTTCGCATGTAATTGCTTTTTGTGAAAGCACTGACGTTCATTGATGTGACTATTAAAATGAAACTTTAACAGTATCTCCTGGTTACATGAAGGAAGACTGTGTAGTACTGATAAAATAGGACTGGAAGGAAGTGCCCTGTCAGACTTTCTCTTGCAAGTTTATATAAATGTCAGCCTCTTTAAAAACTGAGTTAATAGATAATGGCTCAAAGGTTCATCATCAAGCAAGCCTACTTACCTGAACATTTTTGTGCTCGTCACTATTCCATTCTGGTAACACAGACAGAATCTCTTTCCATTTTTTAGCACAATTGTTTTCAAACTTTGTTTTCTATGTATTTGTCTATGTTTATCTGCCAACTGATGGTAACACTTCATGTGTCTGATGGAATGGGCTTTTACTTCAAAATTTATGCTACAATAAATCTGTTAATCCGTAAAAGACTACTAGACTCACGTTTTTGTTCTAGTAACCCTCATTCTTCCAATATTAAGTCACTAGCAGAAATGTTCTGTTAGTAATTAGAGTGAGTGCCAAAATAGACGTGATAATGTCCCCAGGTCTACCACAGGGACACTTCTGCCTTTTTAGGGGTGCTGATCAAGACCATGACTGGGAGCTGTCTGTTTCCACTTTCCATGTGCTGTTTTCAAGAGCCCCAATGCCAGGGGGTTCAACTCTTGGAAATGGCATGAGGGGAACAGAACTCCCTCTTCCTCACTATGCCACAGTCATGATCAGGATTGGGCCTCTACCACTTTTATAAACAGGGAGTTTCATGCTGTTATATCTAGGCTCCATAAAATGCTGTTGTCAAGTCTCTGAAAAATCTTTGCCCTATAAGAAATTTGATAAGAGGAACTCATAATTTGTGAGAGGCTCAAGAGTCACAGCAGAGTACAATGGCTTTTTTTGTTTGCTGTTTTCTCCTGGTTTTGATCCTACTAAAATATACCCATAGGTTAAAGTGATGTCTTAACTATTCTCCATGTAGACTTTCACAGACTTTTAAATTACCCTTATGGAGAAACATTGGTGTGGATCCTACCTTTGTCCTACCATTTCCCTGAGTAAAGTTTATTCAATTAAGTCTAAGGAGCCTTCCTCCAGCTAAAGTGGCTCTTCTGTTGGAGGAAAAGCTACTTAGAGGATGGTTGGATCCACTCCACTGCTTGCAACCACATTTCTGTCCATACAGGAGTTTGGACAGATCTGCAGCAGTCCCCAGGACTCTGCCTGGCAAGGCTCCGCTTTCCGTTACTCCTGTGTTAACTGTAATCTCTCTGGGTATTTCCATTGCTGCTAATAATTATATGGCAGTGTGTGTAGTATAGCCAGGAGATCCTCAGATTGTTGGGCAGCCAGAAGTTGTAGCTCTTGTAATGTTATGCACCACTAGGTGGTGAGTTATACTTTTTTAAAGGCAAGGGATACCAGGGGGCGGGGCATGATGCAGCCACCTCTGGCTTGGTACTACCTGCCTCTGCGTCATGCCCCTGGTATTCCTTAGATGTCACCCATCCAAATACTTGCGAGGGCCGGCCCTGCTTAGCTTCCGAGATCTGATGAGATAGCCTGATTGCCGCTGTCTAGTCTTTAAAGCGTATCACCTGTAGAAGAACTAGTATTTCAGTGCTCTTTACCGCAGTGCCACTTAAAGGCTGTGCCTCTTTGCATCTTCTGCTTCACACTCAATGGCTACACACACACACATGCACTTTGGAGTTGAAGGATTCTATAGACCAGAAGTTCCCAGTGAGCTGCATGTAGGCGCCAAAGTGCCCACTGGCACCATTCCTCGTGAATGCCAAGTGTTTGTAGAATGTTGGGTGGGTTCAGGTGGTGCTTTTGCCTTGCAGGGCTTGTGATTGGCCATTGGAGACTGGATTGTCTGTGCACATTTTTAAAATGTTGCTACCAAAAATGGCTGCCATGGCTTACTTTCAGTAACACAGTGAAGATCCCTGTGCTATAGTGCTGCCAAAGCGACATTCTTTTTAAAATCTCCAGTGGCCAATCAGAAGCGTTACTGGGCAAAATCCCTACCTGGCCCCACCCACTTTCTAAAAATGTGATGGGAGCCAAGGAAGGTGTCATCAGGGGCCATGGTACCTATGGGCACCATGTTCAGGACCCCTGATTTAGTGAGTGCTTATTCATAGAATACATTCCTTGAACAGAGAAAACTATATTGGGGAGAACAGTTCAAGTTAGCCTTTCCCCCAAAATCTGATCTGTATGAGGGGCTTTTAAAGTATGGAGCAGAACTCACCAGAGCTCCCAGCAACCATTTGAAGTGACGCTGTGTGACTCAGACTTACCACTTGTTTGCTAACTTGAAAATTCCATCCATGGCTTTGGGTATCAGTGTAACACCAATGGGCAACATCTCTATATATCTAATTCTCAACAGTTCCCTCTGCATGCAGATACTTATTTCTGCAGATAGGGAGCATGCTCTCCCCCAGTAGGGTTTTCTACAAACTCAGGACTCTGTGGATCTCCAGAAAAAAATAAAGAAGTTAAAAAAAAGAAAGACTTGGGGAGGATTGTATCCCTCCCCATACCTTTTGAAGTGGCTGCCACAGGGATCTACTCCAGGCCGTGCTACATCGACAGTGAGATGACTAGGGGGGGGGGGGCAAAAAACAGAACTGGAGCTCAGATTGGGGAGGATTCCTCCTGCAGTATGAATGGCTAAATAGTGGGATTCGGAGCCAGGTCTGCTCCAGGTTGGAAAATGCCTGGAGATTCTGTGGTGAAGTCTGAGGAGCGCAGAGTTTGGGGAGGGGAAAGGTCTCAGCTAGATATAATGCCCAGAGTCCACCCATTTTCTCCAGGGGGACAGATCTCTGTTGTAATTTTGGGGGGTCTACAGGTCCCACCTGGAGGCTGGCAAACCTAGGCCTAACAGCACCCTCTGAGTGAGTTGATACCACCTGACTTGCATGATTCAACTAGGCCTGGCTGCTTGCAACTGTTCAACAGCAGCCACCCTATGAAAGTCAGTGTAGTATAATGGTTCAGATCCTCATCTTGCTGTGTAAACTCACTGAGTGATTTGGGACCAGACACATACTTTCAGCCTAATTTACCTCAGGTTTGTTGTGTGGAAATAATGTCAATGGAAAGCTAAAGACAGGCAGATAAAGGTAGGTTGGCTGCTGGGTGGGAAGGAGATAGAGATACCAACTCCAGGTTGGGAAATTCCTGTATATGAGGGGTGGAGCCTGGGGATGGTGGGGATTGAGGCAGAGAGGGATTTATGGCAGATATAATGCCATAGACTCCACCCTCCAAAGCAGTCAATTCCTCCAGGGGAACTAATGATCTTCGACGTGGTCTCTGTGCTTCACACCTATGGGATCTAGTGCGCATGCGCTGGATCGATCGGCATTGTAGCAAGCTCTTCAACGGATTTTCGCGCCCAGTCCCTTGGGCATGCGCAGGAACTGTGCCTCACCCCCCCCCCCCTTCCTTCTTTCTCCACTACTTTCTTATTCTATGGAGAAAAAGTGGGGCTTTTTTAACCGGTGTCAACATTGCGGTAGTAAACTCGCACCGCCTGACCGCCACACCCTCTGTATTTTGTGTTTGGGAGAGTCTCACTGACCGGACTCTTGCCAGCACTGTGCAAAATTTTCTAACCAAACACGAAAAAACAGCTGCGCGCCTCAAAGTGGCGCTCCTTGAATCGGCTCTAAATCCTTCCACAACGATGGATTCCGAGAGACCTTTGACCTTGACGGCTCCGGTATCGAGGCCTGCCTCTGACAGCGTTCAACCGACGCCGAAGCCTCCGGCATCGAAAGCGCAATCCTCCGCCTCAACACCAGTGAAGAAGAGACCCAAGACATGTAAGGAGACATCCGCAAAAAAGGATTCCTCTAAGCCCCTCAAAGTGGCAAAGAAGGTGAAAGTAGCGGCGTCCGCACTGGGTGATGCCCCTATAGTGCCCCCTGCTCCATCGATATCGGAGACGCTCGCACCTCCACCGATATCTACAATTCAAATTTTGGACTCCTATTCAACAACTGGAGTGTCCCTACTCTGACATCGAGAATGTGGAGCTCCTAAGTCACCCCATGGGTGCAGAGCTTTCACTCCTTCTCCATTGTCAACATCGACAGTTTCGGAAGCTCCCAACGTCGATACAGGTTGGAATTGACACATTCCTTCTAACGCGCAGCCTCAACCTCCACGTCTGCATGCCGATACTATTGATATTGATATTGATGAGCGAATTTTTAGAGACCGTTCACGAAGACGGTCCTTTGTCTCCAAGACGTGATTGGTCTAGAAGTTGATCCCCCAGAGTCTTTATCCCACCACCACCGATGTCGTGGGATCAACGCCAACTGAGATACCTCTACGGCAATTATACACCATCCATGCCCTGGCTGACTCCTGCGGGCTATTCCGATTGGGATTGCTATTCGACCTACTCTGCTCACAGATCAAGGTCACCCTATAAATCGTGACCTTCAGCATCATTGTCTCGACCTCCGGCTGAAGATCCTTCTCACCATCAAACGGAACCTCTAGGTCCTCCCACCCCCCAAGTCGTTCCACCAAAGGTTTTAACTAGTCAACCTGAGATTACTCCAGTACAAATACCCAAACAGGGCTGCTCTGACTCTGGAGACGGCGAATCTGACTCAGAGGCTTCGGAGATCCAAACCTCCCCTGACCACAAGTCTCCTAACCAAGCTGTCGCGGAGGACCTCCCTATATCGCCATCCGACAATCTCACTTCTTATGCAGACCTTGTCAAATGGATGGCCCATTCTCTAGGCTTCTCTGTCGTACAACAGCAGCCACAGGTTACTGATCCTGTTTTTGATATTGTGCA